CGGTTTGTTCTTCATGCCCAAGTAACATGGGTTTTTCTTAACCGACTGGCCTTAGATCGTTAAGCACATATCAGTATCAGCAAACCATCGTTTCTTTAGTATGGTCCACGAGGGACCACACTCCCACTAAGTTCATGTTCCACTGTATTATTTCATTTACAAGCACTCATAAGGCCTTTAAAGGCCACATAAACCCAACACTTGAGCCCCCATGGAAGATGTATTTCTGAGCTTATCCAAGATATGCACAAGAACCTCAATTTATAGGGCTACAAAGCTATGTACTACTAAAGAAAGTAACATATACAATGAACCACCTTCCAAATATGGGTACACATAAAAGGAAGGAAAATATTGTACCAAAAAATAAGTACAAGTTTCTATAATTTCCATACTCCCGCTCAAACTTAAGATGAGTTAAGAGATAACAACTTGAGTTTGGACAACTGAAGGCATGCCTTAGAAACAAAGCAAGAACATAAGAAGCTTGAGCAGTTGCAAATTATCGATCTTCAAAAAACGACACGTCGAATAGAGCAGTCTAGTATAACAACAAATCAACAGCCTCCAGAACAAATAGGATCGAGTAACAAAAAAAAACTCGATCATCACATGGGATGGAGTAACGAAAAACACCATCATCCAATAGGATTGAGAAACAAAAAACTCCATCATTAAATATGATTGAGTAACGAAAAACTTGATCATAAACTAGGATCGAGAAATTCGATCATCAAACAGGTGGAATTTGGCGAAAGAAAGACCTATGTGATCTTTTACAGGGAATACATTTTTTTCTTCTTTTTTCTTCACCCTTTTCTTTTGGCAAAAGATCACTTACATGTGGTCTTTATTATACTAATATATATTTCAAAATAAAATCAACATAACAATAAAACCAAGATCCTAACAACTTGATGTCATTGAAACAACTATACACTATGCTTGAGAATAAAAGATAAGATTGCAATAAACAAAAGGAAGAGTGCCAGAGATTACTTCAACCAGGTTTATTACACCCCACACCTAGTCACCACCATCTGATGGCGCGGGATCAACGGTCTAGCTTCAACCTCAAACTGGGAAAGCAAATTTCGGTCAAGCCACACTAATGGAACATGAACCCCTTTGATCACAAACTAAAACCCTAGGTGAATTATCTTAGCATCCTAGTTTGAGAGAGATGAATTTTCTTTTTGCTAAACCCTAAAACCCTTAGCCATAAATCCATATTTGAGAGATAAGAGAGAGAAGAACTCCATAACCTAAACCCTTAGGTTCTTTCACAATGTGAGAGAAATAGAGATCAAACATGAGAGAGAAACTTTCTTAAGAGAGTGAAATAGAAAGATAAGGTGTAGAGATTTTGGGTAGAGACCAATCCCTTTTTATATGGTTTGAATAAGATTAGGGTATTTTAGGATTTTCTTTGGATTGCCTCTTCTTGTGAGATTGAATATAGACCGTCGATAAAGGGTGGCTTGTGGAGTGAGAGATCTGAGCCATCCATTTCATAGATAGGCCATCAACATTATGAACGGTGCCTGAACCATTATCCCCCTTTCCTAAACCATTTTTCCATCAATAGAAATTAAATAAATTAAATCTAATCAAAATATTGTGCATACCATAAAATAACACAAGTCTACTCAATCTTTCCATAAAATCTTTCAAAGATATATCAAGTCAATATTTAGTCAATATCTTCCAACCATGTGGCCACATGCCATACCACCAAAAAATAAGAAAGAGAATAAAGGTGGGGTGTGCCACCCAAGGGAGGCACTCATGAGCCCCACTTTCTAGAAATATGGTGGGCCCTTGTGCACAACGAGCCCCCATGATTTTTTTATATATTTAAAATTAATAAAAGGATTTTAGAATATTATTTGAATATTTAAACCATCAAAAATCAATATCTTTAATTTTATAAATCCAAAAATTATAAATAAAATATTCAAGGCTTCATAAAAACTCAAATAATAATCCTAAAATAATTTTCATCATAAAATAAACACAATTAAATTAATTTGATGGTATAAGGATCCATAAGGTTTAGGAATCAATAATCATGGGGCACTCCACCTTCAACTGTGGACTACAGACCACACTTGTTTTATAAGACCGATCTAGTGTTTCCCATGACTAATCCATGCAGGGGCTCATTAGTGGGTCACCATAGTCCAACCGATGAGCCAAAGGGTCGCAATCCCAGTCTGTGGATTTTAGGTCCTCCCCTAGAGACAAGTCAAGGTCACCAAGACCTTATGCGACCACAACTCCATGGCGTATAGGGGTATCTCTCGAACATGCATACGCTTCACCCTAAAAGGTGAATTTTTGACTTTCCCGAACGATCTATCGATATGCATGCTTTGTGATGGTACATGGATGAGGTTTTGGCCACTGTCTCTGTACGCCACCATCACACATAAGGGTCACACAGTCCCTCGACTTACTCATCCGGGCTTGTTCTCTGACCTCATCAAGGCCTAACCTATAAACCCTCATCGATTTATTCTTCATGCCCAAGTAACATGGGTTTTTCCCAACCGACTGGCCTAGATCGTTAAGCACAGTTTGGTATCAGTAAGCCATCGTTTGCTTAGTATGGTCCACAAGGGACCACACTCCCACTGAGTTCATGTTCCATTATATCATTTCATTTTACAAGCACCCATAAGGCCTTTAAAGGCCACATGAACCCAACATCTCCCACTTGGCCTTTGAATGCCTTACAATCTCTCTTTTTCACTTTCTCTTACTCCCATCTTTCTCTCCCAATTACAATCTCTCTCAAGCATTTTTATTTATTCTCTCAATACATTAATCATGGCTTTCACTATCAATCATTTTATTTATTCTCTCAATACATTAATCATGGCTTTCGCTATCAATCATCATAGAGGCAACACATTTTTCTCTTTGCTGCTCGAATCTCATCTCAAAAATGGTCGTAGCTCATCTTTCACATCGCATTGTGAATTATGGACCTGTTGTGGCAAAAGACCATCATGTACCCTCATCGTATGGGGTCGTATGTTCATGGGCTCAAAAGAGTTCTTTAAGTAAGTTTCTCCCTTTTGTAGCTATACAATGGGTAAACAACATTATAGTCTGGTGTTCCCTTTGGCAGGTCAAATACTAGAAGGTACTCTTACTGGAATATTTAGTTTATCTGGATCTTGATCTTTCTTAATCTCACCTCATTCTTCAGGTGATAAAAATGTGGTTTTATATGCTTGGAGTTCTTATGGAACATGGCTCCTTTAACACGCATATCATCAACGTGCTGTCATAGAAAATTCTTATTACCTCACAACCCACGAGGTGAAAGTTAAGTCGATTAAAAAATTTATTAATCTATACGGCCTCTTAGATTACCAAACTGTACGCCACGTACTCTGCCTTCATGGTGGAGAATTTCGTCACATCATGTTTCTTTGATTTCCAAGAAATTGCACCCTCTCCAAGCATGAACACATATCCAGATGTAGACTTCGCATCATCTGGATCTATGAGATAGCTTGGACCTATATATCTGAATATCCAAACAGCTAAAAAAATGTGGAACTGTAGCAGCTCCCACTCAATTATTGTACATACAACATATACATTCTCAACATTCTTATGCATAGAACATGAGGTAACATATCAAGTCTCATGCAATATGTAATTCAATACCCGTTGGTTTCACAATATGCAAAAACCTTCATGAACCACAAAGGTTCAACCACACTAGACATCTTGGTAGTAAATTCGTACAAACCAAGTTATCTAGTCAATATAATATATGTCAGGGAAGCCCAGCATGATGGCATTCCTACAACATTCCCTATGGTTCAAAGTCTTAGTTAATCGAGGATTCTAAATAACTAGAAACATGGGTCAAGGAATATAAGTATTTTAAAAAAAATAGTGCATTATAGTTTTTCTCCCACTTTTATAAATACCTTCAAGACAGAATGTTTTTCTTTTTAATAAAAAAAAAAATTTTGATTTGGTATATATATATGCATTCATAAGCAATAGTTATATAATAGTATGACCATTTAAAATGATTTTCGTACAAACTTAATGGACCTTACAAGACTATGTGGTTTTCTCAAAACCATATTCATAGACTTAGGCTTTTCTTAAATCATCCAATTTAAGTACCAAATACATGCTTAGCTTGCCGAAATCATTTTACCGCATTCACCGTTAATTTCCTACCAAAGTCAAGTTCATGGCAATAAAAACATATCATATATACCATGTCATAATTTTATCCAAAATAAAGCACGACTAAATAATGTTTACTAAAGCATTGACAAAATACTTCATTTTTGGCAATTATGGATGATTTATCAAGAGATCATCATCACATACAACACATCATATTATGATATTATTGAAAGGATGGTCACCAAGACCAAGTTTCATCAGAACATTCTCTTTGTGCTTACATATTTGAATGAGCAACATCCATCTATCGTGTTTCATCCTTAGGGCTCAAAGCCCTTGATCAAAGCACATCTATATTTATATCACTACCTTAAGTAGTTCATACTCAAGCATAAAGAGGCACAAAAACACAAAGTATTTAAAACTTATTAGCACTTACCAAATTTGTTAGTACTTACCACTTAATGTCCATACACTTCATATATATTCATAAAACAATTAGCCAAAATATAACCAAACCACATTAAACAAAGTTATTGAATCCTCTTTCCATATATGACCTTTCCCTATATGACCTTACCATATAATGTGGGATAGATTTCTTACCTCAAA